CTGGGGACGGGCCAGGAGGCAACTCCTGGGAGGTCTTCGCTGGAACGATGCAGGCCGATCAAGCCCGATTAGAGGGCTACGTCACCGGATCGGACCAGACTGAGCCCGGGATCAAGCTGAGTGAGCCGGATTTTGCCAGATTGACCCAGATGAACCAACCTGGCTATCGACCGCGAGGATGCCAGCGCCGATACAGAATTTGACCTCCTAGGAGTTGCATCCTAGGACGGGGGGAGGTTGAGGCTTTAGGCCCGAGTCCACGCATGACGAGCAGTTTTTGTGCATGTTCGGCCCCTGTAGACCCTCGCACGCGGGGCCCTGGGACCGTCAGAACACGAGCTGGGATAAAAAAAAGCTGGTCCCGGGAGGCAACTTCTGGGAGTTCTTCGTTTGAACGACGAAGAGCCATGAAGCCCGATTGGGGGGCCATTCAGCGGTGCAGTAGGGACCCGACCACAAGAAACCTTCCACACGAAACCCAACCTTGAGAACCCAGGACGTCAATCGATTTTGGCGTGGGAGCGTGACGCTTTCCATGGCACAGCCATCGAAACCCAAGAAACCCAGGGCACCCTGGAGGCAAGCAGGGTGGTTCTTGGCATGGGCCCCAGCTGTATGAAGCCGTATCAGGCCCGAGATTGGGCCAGATAAAAGGGAATGAAGCTGGATTGCACGGGGTTCTACCAGATTTGGCCAGTTTTCGACCGCGGATATGCCAGCGCCGATGCTGAATCTAACCTCCCAGGAGTTGCATCCTCAGGGGCGTTCGAGGCTTTCGGCGCAAACCCTCTCGCGACATGGAAAAAATACGACGGGAGGTTTTCTGCTATCTTCGGCCTCTGGAGGCCCTCGGCCCTGGGACCCTCCCCCCCCAAACAAAGGTCCCGCGCAGTGGGTCGAGACCTCTGAGGGCCGACATTGTAAAAACACGGCGTCGGAGGTCTGGGGATTGTCTGAATGTTATGGCACTCTCTCCACGACCTCCGCGTCCCTCCTCCTCCTCCTCCTCCTCCTCCTCCTCCTCCTCCTCCTCCGCCGCGTCGCTGCGAGCGTAATTGGCCGCAGCGCGCCCCCGCCCCCCCCAAAAAATACTGCTGGACCTGCGGACGGCCTCTCGTCGCGCCACGGCTGGGTTCGCCTCGAACTTCTGGTCCGAGGGAGCCCCCAGACAGATCGGGGGTGGTAGTAGCAGCAGCAGCAGCAGGAATAGTAGTAGTAGTAGTAGTAGAAGTAGTAGTAGTAGTAGTAGTAGTAGTAGTAGTAGTAGTAACAGTAACAGTAGTAGTAGTAGTAGTAGTAGTAGTAGTAGTAGTAGTAGTAGTAGTAGTAGTAGTAGTAGTTGCTGTTGGTGCTGTCGTTGTAGTTGTAGTAGTAGCAGTAGTAGTAGTAGTAGTAGTAGTAGTAGTAGTAGTCGTAGTCGTAGTCGTAGTCGTAGTCGTAGTCGTAGTCGTAGTAGTAGTAATAATAATAGTAGTAGTCGTGGTAGTAGAAGTAGTAGTAGTAGTAGTAGTAGTAGTAGTAGTAGTAGTAGTAGTAGTAGTAGTGGTGGTAGTAGTAGTCGTAGTCGTAGTCGTACTAGTCGTAGTAGTAGTAGTAGTAGTAGGTAGGGTAGGTAGGTAGGTAGGTAGGTAGGTAGGTAGGTAGGTAGGTAGGTAGGTAGGTAGGTAGTAGTAGTAGTAGTAGTAGTAGAAGTAGTAGTAGTAGTAGCAGTAGTAGTAGTAGGATGAGTAATAATAGTAGTAGTAGTAGTATAATAGTAGTAGTCGTAGTAGTAGTAGTAGTAGTAGTAGTAGTAGTAGTAGCAGTAGTAGTAGTAGTAGTAGTAGTAGTAGTAGTGGTAGTAGTAGTAGTAGTAATAGTGTGGTAGTAGAAGTAGTAATAATAATAATAGTAGTTGTAGTAATAGTGGTAGTAGTGGTGGTAGTAGTAGTAGTAGTGGTAGCAGTAATAGTAGCAGCAGTAGTAGTAGTAGCAGCAGCAGTAGTAGTAATAGTAGTCGTAGTACTAGTAGTAGTCGTAGTAGTAGTAGTAGTAGTAGTAGTAGCAGCAGCAGTAGTAGCAGTAGAAGTAGCAGTAGCAGTAGCAGTAGCAGTAGCAGTAGCAGGAGCAGGAGCAGGAGCAGTAGCATTAGCAATAGCAGTAGCAGTAGCAGTAGTAGTAGCAGCAGCAGCAGTAGTAGTAGTAGCAGTAGTAGTAATAGTAGTCGTAGTAGTAGTGATAGAAATAGTAGTAGTAGTAGTAGTAGGGACAACAGCAGCAGTAGTAGTAGCACTAGTAGTACTAGTAATACTCGTAGTAGTAGTGGTAGTGGTAGTAGCAGTAGTAGTAGTAGCAGTCGTTTAAGTAGTTGTTGTCGTACTAGTAGTAGTCGTCGCCGTCGTCGTAGCAGTAGTAGTAGTAGTACTAGTAGTAGTAGCAGTAGTAGTAGTAATAGTAATAGTAATAGTAGTCGTAGTAGTAGTAGTAGTAGTAGTAGTAGTCGTAGTAGTCGTATTAGTGGTAGTAGAAGTAATAGGTGTAGTAATTACTAGTAGTACGAGTAGTAGTCGTAGTCGTAGTAGTAGCAGTAGTAGTAGTAGTAGTTAGAAGTAGTAGTAGTAGTAGTAATAATAGTAGTAGGTCGGGCCTGTCCCCCTACAGTGGGAGTTTGAGAAACAAATATTTAATCAAACTTCACTATACTCCCAAAATGCTCAAAGAATAATCAAAAGGATCGTCCCCTGACTATTTTTGAGTATTGTTGAACATTCCTTCTGTAGAAAGACAGGCCCGACTTAGTAGTAGTGGACAGAGAAGAAGATCGTGGCTCGAGTCGGCGGCGAGCGAGGGGGGGAAATGAGAAGGAGAAAGCCTTCTCAGAAGGCGGCGGAACTCCTGGGGAGCCCTCGCGCCTCCTGAGAGGTGTCGTTTGTCTTCGGGGAAGGCTCAGAAAACTTCTCAGAAGGCCGGGGGACGTCCGAGCCTTCTGAGAAAGCCTTCTCCTTCTCGGTCCCCGCCCTCGCTCGCCGCCGATCGAGGAGACTCCCAGGATCGGAGGCTCGGGCACTCTGGCCCGCTCTGGGCCTCCCGGTGCCTTCGGAAGCGACGGCGGCGTCGGAGTCGATGGGGACCCACTGGCGAGCCGAGAAAACCTGCGCACGGACAGGAAAGGGCGGGCCCAGACGCGAGCGTGTGTACGTATATTCGGCGTTTCGACATGGGGCGGAAAGGGGGGGGGGCAGGGAAGGGTCTGGCTCCAGACCTCTGCTGGATGCGTCCGCTTGCAGCAGGGCGCCCCATGGGAGGGACTCCACCTGCTCGCAGCAGGCGACAGAAGCAGCCAAGATCTACTCCACGGGGAGGAGGGGGGGAGGGGGGGAGGGGAAGGGGGGGGAGGGGGGGGGGGCGAGGGCCCGCGCCGATCGGCAAAACAACGACAAAAACAACAGCAACAAAAAAACAATCAACAAAAAAACAAAAGCAAAAAAAAAAACGACGACGGCCTCTGACGTCCAGAGGCAGGGCGGAGGCGCCCCGCAGCTGCCCTGCCGCCCGGGGGGGCCCAGCCGTAGAGCCCCGGGGCGGGGAGGAGGCGAGCGCGGACGGAGAACCTGCCGAGCCGACGTGGGCCCTGCTGGGAGCGGTCCGACGGGTGGCTTCTCGAGAAAACGAAGAGAGGCGTGAAGAAAAACACGCACTCGGAGGCCTCCTCAGGCCTCCTCCTCTCCCCTCCTCCTCCTCCTCCTCCTCCTCCTCCTCTTCCTCCTCCTCCTCCTCATCCTCCTCCTCCTCCTCCTCCTCCTCCTCCTCCTCCTCCTCCTCCTCCTCCTCCGCCTCCTTTTCCTCCCCCGCCTCCTCGAGCACACCGCTCGCCCCGCGTCCCTTGGAGGAGGCCTCCTTGGGCTCCCGGAGGCCTCCTCGGGTGGGGGTCCTCCGGGGGCCCGCCTGGGCTCCCGGAGGCCTCCCGAGGCCGCAGGGGGCCTCCCAGCGCCGAGGCTGGGTACACCGAGGGGGTCCTGCGGAGGACAGTGTCATCGAGCACTCCGCGATGGTGGTGGTGATGATGATGATGATGATGATGATGATGATGATGATGGGTGGTGGTGGTGATGATGTTGATGATGATGATGGTGGTGGTGGTGGCGATGATGATGATGATGATGATGATGATGATGATGATGATGATGATGATGATGATGATGGTGGGGATGCTGATGATGGTGGTGATAGTGATGCTTGTGACGAGGATGCTGATGTTTATGATGATGCTGATGCTGATGACGATGATGACTATAACGACGATCATGATGATGATGACGATGATGATGATGATGGTGACGACGATAATGATGGTTTTGATGATGATAGTGATGACGAGAATGCTGACGACGATGACGATGATCAGGATTATGATGAGTAGTATGATGACTATAATGGTGATGATGATGACGGTGACGATGATGATGTTGATGATGACGATGACGGTGACGGTGATGTTGGTGGTGAAGATGGTGATTATGATGATGGTGGTGATGATGATGATGGTGATAAAAAGTAATGCTGACAATGATGACGCCGACGATGATGATGATGACGATGATCATGATGATGATGACGACGATGATGACGATGATGATGATGACGATGAGGATAACGATGCTGACGACGATGACGATGGTGATGATGACGATGATGATAACGATGCTGACGACGATGACGATGGTGATGAGGATAATGATGATACTGAAGATGACGATGATGATGATGGTAGTGACAATGACGATGACGAGGATGAAGATGACGGTGACGATGATGATGATTATGATGATGAGCATCATGATGAGGATAATGATGAGGATAATAATGATCACCATCATGATGATGATCATGATGATGATAATGATGACGATATTGAGGATGATGACGATGATGGTGACGGTGATGATATTGGTGATGATGGTGATGATGATCATGATGATGATGACAATGATGATGATGATTATGATGGCGATGATGAGTAT